TGCTGTTCACTCTGTTGTAAACAAACGCGTAGTGCCGTGGGGTGTGGTGGGCGCTTCTCTCCCTGAGTTGCCCCTCCCTCTCCCTTGAGAGGGGGGTAGCTTTCAATGAATATTGATTGATTATTTTTACAGTCTAGACATATGATTGAGATAAGATGTGATTATAATATAATTAGATATAGGATTTAAAGATTATAAGTAGTATTTGATAGTACTATTGATTCTTATTAAGGATTTGATTTATAATCCCTACCGGAAATCGAATCATGTTCCAGAAGCTTTTCAATTAAGAAATCCTTCTAGAAGCTTCTGGATCCTTGAGAGATCATGCACAAAGTCACGTAGGCATCTATAGGGCCCTATGGCATATATCAACCCATCCTCCGAATAGACAGTACGTTTTAATACTAAATGTAATAAGTACATTATCATACTTACGTATTTAGTACATAATTGCACTTATCGGGCTGTTACAGGTACCGGCCGCCCTCCCTAGAATATTCTCCCCGAAACGATGAATTAGTTTTCTTTAATGTAACAGGTGTGCTGTTTTCTTTCTTAATTTTTGCGGACACTCAGTCAATTTTGCGTATACTAGTATACTCAGCACAAATTTTGCCTTTATAATTTAAGGTATCATGAAAATTGGGCTCTTTTAAGGCAATTAAGCATAGCAGAAGCACAGTCACTGACATTCAAAGGAAAGAAGGGATGATATAACTATTTAAATTACGATTTAAATCCTTCTAATTTTTGCTCGTTCGTCAATGAGAACTGATGCCAATGCACTGGCCAATAAACTGAATAGTACTGGCCACTAAACAATAGGTTGATTGATTGATGATTGATGAAGATTAAGCCACCCAAAAGGTGGAAGGGCCATGAATAGCCCGTATGTGGAGGCCCTCTCTGAGCCATTACCAGTATCAATAGATGATACCTGAAGCCTACTAATTCCACTGACGTTAATGAGATAATCCTTTCCCTTAAAACCAAGTCTAGTGCCCTTGTGGAAATACCAACCTTAATTTACAAAAAAGCCTCCAGATCTTTAGCCCCTGCTATTGCACTGCTCTTCAACAAGTAACTTGAACTCCAAACCTTTCCAAATATGCTAAAAGAGCGAGAGTAACCCCTGTCCACAAATGTGGTGATCTCACAGATGTTAACAACTACAGACCTATATCAATCATGCCTAACTTGTCAAAAATATTTGAAAAACTAATCTACAAGCAGCTTTACTCTTATCTAGCCAAACACAATATACTTTGCTCTTGTCAATATGGCTTCAGACCCCAAAAAAGCACTAACGATGCACTTATTAGTATGATTAACTTGATTCATGCAGCTCTTGATAAAAGTGAGTTCCCTGTTGGGTTATTTGTGGACCTGCAAGGCTTTTGACACTGTCAACCACCAAAACTTTCTTCTTAAATTACATCATTATGGAGTCAGAGGACACTCCCTGCAATACCTCAAATCTTACCTTACTGACAGGCTCCAGTATGTTTCTGTGAATAATTCAATTTCTCCTACCCTACCCATCAACATTGGTGTTCCTCAGGGCAGCAAACTTGGCCCTCTCTTCTTTTTCATCTACATTAATGACCTTCCAAATGCCTCCCAACACCTCAAACCTATTCTATTTGCTGACGACACAACCTTTATTTACTCCAGTCCTGACCCCCTTGCTCTAAATGCCACAGTAAATACTGAACTAAATAAAGTCCATCTGTGGCAAATTGCCAACAAACTCACCCTTAACATTGACAAAACTTTCTATATTCTTTTTGGCAATAAATCCTCTAATCAAATAAATCTCAGAATTAACAATACCCAAATTTGTAACAAATTACATGGTAAATTCCTTGGCATTCTCATTGACCACAAGCTGAATTTCCAGGGACACATTCTAAATATATCAAAAAGTTTCAAAAACTGTTGGCATTCTTTCTAAGATCAGATATTATGTACCCCGCCATGCCCTGGTGACGCTCTATTACTCTCTCATCTATCCATATCTCAATTATGGTATTTGTGCTTGGGGTTCTACTACCCAAAATCATTTACGTCCTCTAATTACTCAATACAAAGCTGCTATTAGGACAATATCCAACTCTGGCCCCAGACAGCACTCGGTACCCCTACTCAAATCTCTGAATATGTTAGATATTAAGTCACTGCACATTCTCTCATGTGTATTATACATATATAAAACGCTGAACTGTAATGCCAATCCTGACCTCAAAAGCTTCATCGAAGGTTGTAACAGAGCCCATGAGCACCACACCAGAAATAAATTCCTTTTTTTATTTTAGATATATACAAGAGTTGTTACATTCTTGTACAGCCACTAGTACGCATAGCGTTTCGGGCAGGTCCCTGGAATATGATCCCCACCGAAAAGAATCGTTTTTTCATCCAAGTACACATTTTACTGTTGCGTTAAACAGAGGCTACAGTTAAGGATTTGCGTCCAGTAAATCCTCTCCGGCCAGGATACGAACCCATGACATAGCGCTCGCAGAATGCCAGGCGAGTGTCTTACCACTACACCACAGAGACTACTATTATTTTGATATTCCAAGAGTACGACTTAATCAAACTAGAAGTGCTCTACAAATCAAGGGACCCAGAATGTGGAATGACCTTCCCAACCATGTTAAAGACTGTACCTCTCTCAACCAGTTTAAGATAAAAACGAAGCACTACCTAATAAATTCCTTGTAACCTACCTTACCCCTCTATTGTCAACCCATGTCTGTTTTTTTAAACAACGCTGTTTGTCGACCTAATTGTATTTGTGCTGCTTTTTCAGCCATGTTTCCCCCCTTTTATCTTTATTTTTATTTGTTCTCAACACATTTTATTCTTTATTCTCAGTTAGTATTAAGTTTTAGTCATTAATGTTTTTCCTGCCCGAAACGCTTTGCATAATAGTGGCTTTAGGCATTATATGTACTAGCTCTATCTATAACTCCATCAATTTATGTAAAATCTCTTGTATGTATGTACCTTACCTGAATAAACATTTTTTTTTTTAAACTGGAGATTTGTGGAGGTGCGATCGCACCCTGCCTGACAGGAGATGTCTCCCGCGACTAAACAATAAACTGAACCTATCATAAAGAAAAACGACGACCATTGACCGTCTAATGCTCCCATAGAGTGTAACTGTAATTAACAATGCTCAAGTCCTGACCAACAGTCAAATATTAATCCATCAACCACGAAGCAAAGCGTCTCCCAACATCAACGCTGTTGATGCAGTGCAGGGTCCCGTTGAAAAAAACTTTTCCGATTTTACATAGGTTTACCGTGACAGACACTAACAATAGTAGTCTTGAAGAGGAAAGGAAATCGGCAGATTGTCGAAGGTTTGCCTTGATATTTTCCAGCTATACAGTACTTTAAAAGAAAAGTTAACAGATGTTTGACTTTTATCCTTCGGCGGGTAAGCTGTTTCACCAATATTTGCCAACCCTCTGGATGAATACTTATATGACACAAACTAGACATATCAGTAGGGAAAAAAACTAACAATTCTCCAAATAGTTGGACGTGATTCAGTTTTCATGGATATATTCATTTTCGGGTGTTCGACTTCAGTTTGGAAATATGAAAAGGCACAGTTTGGTGCATTCAGATGGTAAAGCTTTATGACATTAATTACAAATGGCATAAGAAAGAAGCAAATATTAGTTATATTTAGAACCTATAACAGAAAATAATTTAAGTAAAACAGTTGATATAAAAAGCTGTATAAAATTACAAGTTGTTAGTTTCATCGCAGTGAATGTAAACATGTGATCATGGGCGCATTCGTTCAAAAACAATAACACACGTGATCCTAGATTTTGCAGTCATCGGGAGAACAAATCATTCATGCAAACTGCACCTACTATCAAGAAGAAGATCCTAGATTCGGGCATGGTATGTAAAGTTTTCTCGGTATTTATGTAAATAATTCCTTCATATGTAATATTTTACTAATTGAAAAGAATGCAAATGTTTCATTGCTGTTTAGTCAAATAAATTTCAAAAACTAGTTACAGTATTAAAGTTTTGCTTGTTATGTGTAGGAAGAATATATTTTACTGCATATTGGTATACACATTCCAATACGTTTTTAGAACGCAGCATGTTATTTTTATCAATGATGGTTTTTATAATAAGCTTCCTAGAAGGTTGTAAAAGATCCCATGAGCACCTCACCAGAAACAAATACCTATTTGATATTCCAAGAGTAGGACTTAGTCAAACTAGAAATGATTTACAAATCAAGGGACCTCGAATGTGGAATGACCTTCCCAATTATGTTAAAGACTGTACCTCTCCCAACCATAGTTAAAAACTATGTACTACCTAATTAACTCAATGTAACCTATCTCACCCCCAAAATGTCAACCCATCTCTTCTATTTAAAACAATGTTGTTTGTTGACCAAATTGTATTTTGCTTTTTTTCTGCCATGTTTCACCCCCCCCCCCCCTCCCTTTTTTTCCATTTTTTTTCTTATTTTTTCTCAACACAATTTATACTTTAATATCTATTAGTATTAAGTTTTAGTTTTAGTGTCTTTCCTGCCCAAAATGCTTTGCATAAGGCTTTAGGCATTGTATGTACTAGCTCTATCTATAAATCCATAAACTTTTGTATCTTACCTTGTATGTAAGTACTTTACCTGAATAAATAATTGTATTTGTATTGGTACTTGTAATAGGTAGATGATACAGAAAGCAGTACAATGTCTGTCACAAATCCTTTTACTGCGGCATCATTAAAACCACAAGTCAGTTAAATAAATAGTCTCAGTTTCCGTGGTGTAGTGGTAAGACACTCGCATTGCGTTCCGCGAGCTCTATGTCATGGGTTCGTATCCTGGCCGGGGAGGATTTACTGAGCGCAACTCCTTAACTGTAGCCTCTGTTTAACGCAACAGTAAAATGTGTACTTGGATGAAAAAACGATTCTTCGTGGCAGGGGATCGTATTCCAGGGACCTGCCCGAAACGCTACACGTACTAGTGGTTGTACAAGAATGTAGCAACTCTAGTATATATCTCAAAAAAAAAAAAATATATGCCTGGAAGATCGACCCCAGCCAGCATACTAGCAGGTAAAAAATATCATTTAATCAGCTTGTGACAAAATTACAAATAAAGATGTGTTATGTTATGTCATTGTGTTAGGTTAGCCTAGCTATTATTTCCAATATGTTTTTTAATTTGAATTAGTATGCGGGTTTCCCGGGAGGAGGGTGGGCGTTTTGTAGTGTACTGGCGAGGAGGAGGCGAGCAAGAGGTCGCCGAGTCGGCGCGCGCGCGTTTAAGTACCCCACTCGATGCGCGCGCGCTACTTATAGTCGGTTAGACACAAAATCATGGTAATACGTTTTCCTTCCCCGCAGAACTTCACCGCTTTTGAGAAAAGCAGTGACTATTTCTGCGGTTGGAAGAAAACGCTCACAGAGTGGGACTTAATTTATTTTTATAATAATAATAATAATTAATTATTTATTAAATACAAATAATTAATTAATACTCATAAGTGATTAAGTAATTGATAATCCTTAAATGAAGAAGCATACTAGCTCAGTATAACGAATAAATAGATAATTAAAGTGGATAATTAATTATGGTGGCTAATAATGATTAGTGAATAACCATAAATTATTATACTGAAATAATATTAATGGATAGCCGTTATAATGATGATTAAATCAAATACAGTGAAGTGACATCTCTAATTAGTTTTGGGGGTTCCGTCGGAGCACCCCCAACCCCGTTGAGGGCCAGCGGCGCGGAACCCCCACCCCTGAAGGGCGAGCGGAAGCTGGCTACTATAAGTAGGAACATGACAACTTGCTACCGTGGCCGTAAGCGTGCCCGTATGCCCGGAGAGGCCATTAAAAAACAATCAGGTTTTCCTGACTGAAAAACGTACCATTCCGGGTCTACTAGACAGATGCTGCTAACAGACGCAGCTCGCTTGGTGGGCCGACGGAGCTCCATCTTGACGAGTAATGGAGCAGAGAGGCGGGATGGCCCACCGACTGTGCCCTGGGAGGAGTACCTACTGCCGGGTTTGCACTCCAAGCAGGGAGTGCTTTCCACCATGGCAAATGACTGGTCGATCCCGTGTATATCTTCGTCGTAGTAGCCCGCTCTCACAGAGACCAGTCCTGGAAGGCTGGCCCCAGGGCGGGTGTGGGAATGTGAACGCTGTCCACTCCGAGGCCGACTCCCCAGGGTCGACCCCGTGTTGGTTATTGTCGCTGTGGTGAGCCCCGCGGGTGTGGAGTGGAGGTGTCGGCTTAAAAGCGTGTCGGTCACCTCCCAGGATACCTCGCACGTTGGGCATGAGAGCCGTGGTCCATCATCACAGGTTTTCTTCGTCCTCGTTCTATTGTGGATCTGGAAGTATTAAAGCAGTAAGGGTGGGCAGGAGCTGGTGTGCAGAGGTAACGTGAAAAGCAAAGGCACAGGTGCGTGGGACCCGCATCAAAGCGTATTGCTGGCAACTTAGGCTGCGAGAGTGGTAATAACTGGATGCGACACCTGTTGCGTAAGGCAGGAATGGGTATATCTGAATGAAGCCCCAGCATAACTGAGTGGAGAACTGTGTGACCACTTACGCTCATCAAGACGAATTAGAATTGTAACGAAATTATTATTAAGAATGTAGAGAAAATGCGGTCTTCCCTTCTTCTCTCGTGAAATTCCTCGGCTGGGACACGCCATCTGTAGCCTTGGCAGCTGGACCATTGCAGATGCTGCATCTTCGGTTGGACGCCGCTAAATGTCTACTTCAGCAGATGGGACATCGTCGGCTGGATACCTCCTTCCGGAACCTCAGCTGCTGGGTCATCGGCTGAAAACTCGTCAGCCGGGACATCCAGAGCTGGGCTAGGCCCCCCGGTGTCGTGCACATCTGGCACACCACCAGCTGGCCCAACAGCTGGGCCTCGCCCAGTGGCCGAAACACTACCAGCTGGGCCCTCAGCTGCGGGAACATCGGCATGTACTACGTCAGCCGGCACCTCAGCAGCTGGGTCTGGCCCGACAAAAAAACAAACAATATATAATACATAAATTAGAAAGGAATATGAAGAATAACAAATATAAATAACAGAAATTGTATATAAATAATGAGAGTGACTGTGCATGCTCGGCTGCAATACCACCAGCTGAGCCTTCGGCTGCTATTATTAGCTACTAATAATTAATTGACAATACTCATAATAATGGGTGATTATATGGGCTTGCTCGGCTGGACCTTCAGCCGCTGGGTCACCGGCAGCATATAAATAATAATTAAACAACTGCAAACAATTAATTAACAATAATCACAGTGATTAATTACAAGGCATGCTCAGCTGTAAGACCGTCAGCTGAGCCTGCAGCTGCTGGCTCATCGGCTGGGACCACAACAGTCGGCACGTCAGCAGCTGTGCTCGGCCCCCAGAGGCGTGCTCAGCTTGGAACACCACCAGCTGGGCCATCAGCTGCTGGATCATCGGCTGGGACCACGTCAGCCGGAACCTCAGCAGCTGTGCTTGGCCCCCATGGGCATGCTCAGCTGGAAAACCCCCAGCTGGGCCATCAGCTGCTGGATCATCGGCCGGGACTACATCGGCCGGAACGTCAGCAACTGTGCTTGGCCCCCAGGGGCATGCTCAGCTGGGCCATCAGCTGCTGGATCATCGGCTGGGACCACATCGGCCGGAAAATCAGCAACTTTGCTTCGCCCCCAGGGGCATGCTCAGCTGGAACACCACCAGCTGGGCCACCACCTGCTGGATCATCGGCTGGGACCACGTCAACCGGAACCTCAGCAGCTGTGCTTGGCCCCCATGGGCATGCTCAGCTGGAAAACCCCCAGTTGGGCCATCAGCTGCTGGATCATCGGCTGGGACCACATCGGCCGGAACGTCAGCAACTGTGCTTGGCCCCCAGGGGCATGCTCAGCTGGAACACCACCGGAAGGGCCATCAGCTGCTGGATCATCGGCTGGGACCACATCAGCCGGGACATCAGCAGCTGTGCTTGGCCCCCGGGGGCATGCTCAGCTGGAACACCGCCAGCTGTGCCATCAGCAGTTGGATCATCGGCTGGGACCACAACAGCCGGAACATCAGCGGCTGCCCCAGGAGGGGGGGGGCTGGGCGTGGCCCCCAGGGGGCACGCTCAGCTGGCCCATCAGCTCCATGGGTCATCGGCAGCGTATCCACGTCAGCCGGTACATCAGCAGCTGTGCCCGGCCCGAAGGCAGCTGAGCCAATAGCTGCTGGATCATCGGCAGGGATCACATCAGCGGAAAAACAAATAAGTAGCGAAATTATAATAACCAGTATGGATAATTGAATATGAGGATAAAAATAAACAGGGAAAGTGAATAGACATAACCAGAAATAATGACTGAATAATAATTGAGACCTCATTTGTGTGCTCAGTTAGTGTATACAGCATCGAGTAATGTGGTACATTCTTTGTTCCTTATCCCAAAATAATAAGCACCGGGGAGGGGGGAACGAATATAATAAAGAATAATAACACTAAAGAATAATAACACTAAAGAATAATAACACTAAAGGATAACAATACTAAGGAACAATTGACAGGATTCGGCTGAATCGAATCTTCGGGCCTGAAGTAATTCTTGACTTACTAAAGATAATATAAGCATAAAGAAAGCTGTTCTTTCTTAAAGTAAAGACTCTTATTAACTGGAGCGCCAGCTGCTGGATCTTCAGCTGGGACCTCGTCAGCCGGAACTTCAGCAGCTGGGGACATCAGCTGCTGGATCATCGGCTGGGACCTCGCCAGCCGGAACTTCAACAGCTGGGTTAATAATAATTACAATAAAGATGAAAACGAATCGAATCTTCGGGACCAAAGGAATTCTTGATCTTAATAAAGATAATATAAGCATAAAGAAAACTTAACCTTTTCTTAAAGTAAAGATTCTTAGTAACTGAAGCCTCAGCTGCTGGATCATCGGCTGGGCCGAGCCAGCCGGAACTTCAGCGGCTGGGTGAATAATTAATTATAAATAATAAATAGTAAAGAATAATATCAATGAAGAATGACAAAAGTAAGGGCGACGAACCAGCCAGAGATTAACAATCGCTTGCGCACTGCTCAGTTATACGACATCGAGTAATGGGATACAGCAGTTGTTCTCTATCCAATAATAAAGAATAGATTAATGATGATTATAATAAAAATAATAATAATAATAATAACTATAAAGGATAACACTAATAAAGAATAGTTGGCTGGATTCGGCTGAATCGATTCTTCGGAACTGAGGTAAATCTCGAATTTATTAAAGTAGGAGATTAGCATCAAGAAAACTTAATCTTTCTCGTAGGAAAGAATCTTAGTAATTGGAGGGGCGGCCAGATGGGCGACGCCACCAGTGTGGCGCCGCCCGCCCCTGGGCGTTAATTAAGAGCCCGCACGTGCACGCCTCGTGCCCGGGCGCCCACCGGGGCAAGGGGCGAAGCAGAGCCCCCAAGGACCACGCCTAGGGCAAGCAAGCCTGGCCACGTGGGCGTCACCACCAGATCCAGCTGCTCTGCGCGTACCAGTGGCATTACAAGGAAGTGACTATTACGCTACGTATCCTCGCAATCCCAATGGATCGTCTTGTATATGTATAATTAAGTAAATAAATAAATAACGAAATAAATAAACTGGGCCAGGCCACGCGGGCAACACCACCAGGTGTGGCGCCGCCCGCCCTCGTGCAGGGAGACCCACACGTGCATAGCACGACACGCACTCCCGGGCACGGCACTGAGGGCGGGAAAGGGCATGCTCTGCTGGGACACCGTCAGCTGAGCCTTAGGCTGCTGGATCATCGGCGGGAACCACTTCCGCCGGAACATCAGCAGCCGGGACAGGACAGGGGGGAGCCCTGCGCGTGCTCCCCACGTGGTCCCCGGTCCCGTTCGCCGCCTGCAGGAGGCCCTCAGAGGCGGGCGTGCGCCCGGTACGCCCACACCCCGGGCAAGAGGCGAGGCCCCTAATGCAGCCCCAAGAAGCAACAGGACAATAGTAAGTAAGTTTATATGGAAAAATTTAAAAATTGAAGAGCCTATCTTGTATTTATTTGTTAAACCTATCTTGTATTTATTTGTTAAACACAGAAATCACAATAGCGTGATGCCTCGAATCTATGATTGAGGTCAGTTGAACTCCCGGTTGGAATTCTTTTGCCATGTCGTAACAGTCCATTAAGGCTCGTGTGGGATCCTCTCGGACATAGGTTCGAACCCTCACCATGGCCCTTGTGGATTTGTTCATTTGTATCTATTCATTTTGTAAATACATGTCTTCATGTTCATCACTTTCTAAGAGCTCCAAGAAAGGCTCATAGACCTCATTTGGCTGGTAGGAATTAAATAAATGTTTGGCTTCAGTAAGCTTGTCAGCACACTGCTTTTGACCCTGCTTGAGAAGAGCCAATAATCCACGTTTCTCTTCTGACAGAATTGGGTTTTCAATGGTGTATGTGTTAGAATCCTGGAATATAATATTTAAAACATCTTAGGGTCAAATATATACTGTACCTCTTTAGTTGTATGTAATGCAAATATATAAAAGTATAGATTAAGTAAAACAGAATGATACAAATAATAATTAAAAATATATTCTCCACAGTACCACTCTTGAAAATGGAAATGTTTTATAGTTGAAATTTGAAAGGTGATGGCAATATTTCTCTTACTAATTGAACACATTTAAGTGAGTTGGGTGTTTTGAAGATCTAAATTGCAAAAAGTATTTTGAATTTTTACCTTGCAGAGACATGAAGGGAAAGAATCACATTGTAATTCTTGAATATACTCGGATGGTTTGTCACTTTTCTTTATGTAGTACTGTAACCATGTTATCATTTCTTGAATGGTTAGTGATTCCTCCTCTCTACATCTCTTCTGGAGCTCAAACTTTTCCACTGCACTTCTTTTTTCAGTCAGGGACACTATAATGCAAAATGAAAATACAGTATGTGATTGACAAATTATAATAATGGGAATCATTTGTGAATTAAACATCATTAAAAATTGTACCTATAAAATTTACCTTTAGAAAACAAACTCAATTTAATGGTATTGCAGTCTTTCCATATATAAAAGTACAATTAACACAAATAATATATATATATTTGAAAATGCTGAGAAAACTAATGAATCATTAGATCTTGTGTAAATACCACTTGTGTTTTGATGAAGCAATAAATTGTGCCATGGAAGGATGCCAGTTAAAACATCTGCTTCATACAAATCCGACAAAATGACAAATCCAACCTTCAGACAAAATGAGATCTCGTAGTTTTTTTTCTCAACTTCATTTTTGTTTCTCAATACCGCTCTCATTTTAGATGAAACTGTAAAGTTTCAGGTTGTTATCAAATATTTGACTTGCACCAATAGTGTTTTACATAGAAAAACTAATTTAACAACTGTGTACTGTATTAATGTTTAGGTTTCAGTTAACAAACAAAAAAGCAATGAATGTCTACCTGCATAAGTGGTAATCTGATTTTTGCGATGCCTTATATTCTCTCCATATGCCTCGATAGTATGCTCAATGTTGTTGGCAGAGGATCTGTTATTTAAGGATCTTGCAATGATCAGTAATTCTGATCTCCATTTCTCAATAACAGATTCTGGGACATTAAACCTGTGAATCTCATTTGAAACTGATTCAGCTATCTCTGTGGCCTATTTAAAAATAAATGCGATCATATTTATTGTAAAATTTATGTTCAGACTTACACAAAGTCTTTTGCACTCTCCTTAGTGCTTTGTCAAGGTCTGAGTATGTGTTTCTCAGATTCAGATCTTGACAAAGCACCAAGGAGTGTGTGAAAGACTTGGTGTAATTCTTTACATAAATTTCACAAATACACAAGTGGGTTTTTATCCAATTTTACTTTGTCTGTGATAAAAAATTACCATTAGTGTCTTATAATAAGATTAAAGATAAATAAAAACATGTATATACACTTGATTCATTGTATAGAACAATTGTATATTTATATATAATTCTATATTTTCCTTGTATAGAACAATTCATATGTTACTACCTTTCTGAATCTGGCAACTAATGCCCGAGGCATTCCATTAATTTTTCTGTGATTCCAAAAGAGTGCCGCCTCTGTCAGTTTTTCTGTACGCTCTGTGGAAATAGATTTAGTTTCATTGACATCTTAATACTGTGTGTCACAAAATACTGATTGGAAAGTAAAAGGATGATGATATTGATGCTGTCTTAAGTGGAATGAATTCATTGTTATTTCAGAGGAAACAAAGAGCTCAAAAATAGTGGTAGAGTAATAAGATTAAAAATATAAGGATGTGAAAGAAACTATAAAAACTGGGACAACTTGATTTTTCGAACAAGGATTATACATGTATATGTTGGTTGCATATGAGTATAATGCTACTTTATATAAGCCAAAATGCCTTTCTGCAGTTTCCTATATTCTTATATTATTTTATAACATTATTTGGATATATATAACCATCAAATATTACCATTGTACTGATTTGATTGAAAGGTACAAAATTTAGAACTTTATTAAACAAAAAATAACACATACCAGCTTTAAGCATGTTCTTAGTGTTGTTGTTATATGTTGAAAGGTAGGAAAATACTTGCTCTGCCTCCTCCCCAGATGTCAGGCCACTTCCTTCTTGCCACCGCCCTCCATACAAAACTTTTGACATAATAGCATAATGTTTGTTAAAAACTATCTACTGTATTAACAATTTGCATTTAACATAGATAAATCCTTACATATAAGAGTTTAAAAGAAATTATATTTTCCAACTTACAGTAAAACAAATTCAAAATATTATTGCAGTATTAGATTATTTACCTGACAATACCAAGAATGTCCTTTGGCATGTAAGACTCCTAAAAAAAGGCTTTCCTTACCCAACTGAGAACTTCTGTTCTCTTGATGAAACCTTTAAAGCCCATGGCCAGTATTTACAGATGATATCCTGGCATATGAAGGTCACATTTTGTAAACGGTTCATTTGCAAATAGTAGGCATAACTGTAGAGCTCTCCCTGATACATATTTAATGCATCAAGAATAATTCCATGTCGATAGGAAGCCATGCTTATGCCGGTTTCATCCAAACTTCTAAATGAAACAGGTTTATTTTTGGCAGCTTTCAATGTCGACACTCCACACATGTGGCTACTCTGTTGGACAAAAGTAAAATTATATATATATATATATATATATATATATATATATATATATATATATATATATATATATATATATAATATATATATATATATATATATATATATATATATATATATATATATATATATATATATATATATATATATATATATATATATATAATGCATTGTGCATTGAAGAGATATATATATATATATATATATATATATATATATATATATATATATATATATATATATATATATATATATATATATATATATATATATATATATATATATATATATATATATATATATATATATATATATATATATATATATATAATGCATTGTGCATTGAAGTTCCTGAAGGAATTGGGGGACAAATTGATCAGCGCTACAAAAGACCAGAGAGCAAAAAGTTTCTTGTTCCAGCGCCTCAGTGTTGCGATTCAGAGGGGAAATGCCTGTTGCGTCTTGGGCACTAGTCCAACTTCAGAGGAATTCGAAGAAGTGTTTGACTTGCAACAATGATCGAACCCATCTGTGACATTCATCAATGTTTCCCATTGTTGTGTTCTTCAAGAGATCCATAACCTTTAAGCACCTTTTGCATTATTATTTTTGTATCAACCCATGTATATCTTGTAACCATCAAATGCATAATAAAGCACAAAAAATATTCAAGGAAGGGGGTGGTAGGAGAAAAGCACACAGAAACTGTATTGGAGGGGATCTAAACATTCCCTCTAATGCGTTATGCGTGGTTTCCTCCGAGGCTATGGGTCCCCCTTCTTCCAGCTAGAGGTGGTACTCCCTTCCTATATATAAATATATATATATATATATATATATATATATATATATATATATATATATATATATATATATATATATATATATATATATATATATATATATATATATATATATATATATATATATATATATATATATATATATATATATATATATATATATATATATATATATATATATATATACATACATATATATACATATATATATATGTCGTACCTAGTAGCCAGAACGCACTTTTCAGCCTACTATGCAAGGCCCGATTTGCCTAATAAGCCAAGTTTTCATGAATTAATATATTTTCTCAAATTTTTTTCTTATGAAATGATAAAGCTATCCATTTCATTATGTATGAGTCATTTTTTCTTATTGGAGGTAAAATTAATGTAGATATATGACCGAACCTAACCAACCCTATCTAACCTAACCTATCTTTATAGGTTAGGTTTGGTTAGGTAGCCGAAAAAGTTAGGTTTGGTTAGGTTAGGTAGTTGGAAAATAATTAATTCACGAAAACTTGGCTTATTAGGCAAATCGGGCCTTGCATAATAGGCTGAGAAGTGCGTTCTGGCTACTAGGTACGACATATATATATATATATATATATATATATATATATATATATATATATATATATATATATATATATATATATATATATATATATATATATATATATACTTGCAGAATAACCACATATGAAAAATAGAAAATGCTTAACGCGTTTTCGGCTAATTCGCCTTCATCAGAGCAAAGTAGAATCCAATTTGATTCTACTTTGCTCTGATGAAGGCGAATTAGCCGAAAACGCGTTAAGCATTTTCTATTTTTTCATATGTGGTTATTCTGCATACTTGGATCAGTGTTTTTGTGATCATTGTTGCATATATATACTTATATATATATAATTATATATATATATATATATATATATATATATATATATATATATATATATATATATATATATATATATATATATATATATATATATATATATATATATATATATATATATATATATATATATATATATATATATATATATATATATATATATATATATATATATATATATATATATATATATATATATATATATATATATATATATATATATATATATATGTACAAATTGCCTAAACACGCAAGAGAGATTATACAACCTTAGAATAATCGCTGAGATTGCGAGGATACGTAGCGTAATAGTCACTTCCTTGTAATTCCACTGGTACGCGCAGCGCAGCTGGATCTGGTGGTGACGCCCACGTGGCCAGGCTTGCTTGCCCTAGGCCCATTATTATGAGTATTGTCAATTAATTATTAGTAGCTAATAATAGCAGCCGAAGGCTCAGCTGGTGGTATTGCAGCCGAGCATGCACAGTCACTCTCATTATTTATATACAATTTCTGTTCTTTACATTTGTCATTCTTTATATTCCTTTCTAATTTATGTATTATATATTGTTTGTTTGTTTGTCGGGCCAGACCCAGCTGCTGAGGTGCCGGCTGACGTAGTACATGCCGATGATCCCGCAGCTGAGGGCCCAGCTAATAGTGTTACGGCCACTGGGCGAGGCCCAGCTGTTGGGCCAGCTGGTGGTGTGCCAGATGTGCACGACACCGGGGGGCCTAGCCCAGCTTTGGATGTCCCGGCTGACGAGTTTTCAGCCGATGACCCAGCAGGTGAGGTTCCGGATGGAGGTATCCAGCCGACGATGTCCCAGCTGCTGAAGTTGACATCTAGCGGCGTCCAACCGAAGATGCCGCATCTGCAATGGTCCAGCTGCCAAGGCTACAGATGGCGTGTCCCAGCCGAGAAATTTCACGAGAGAAGAAGGGAAGACCGCATTTTCTCTACATTCTTAATAATAATTTCGTTACAATTCTAATTCGTCTTGATGAGCGTAAGTGGTCCCGCAGTTCCCCACTCAGTTATGCTGGGGCTTCATTCAATTCTGCCCATTCCTGCCTTACGCAACAGGTGTCGCATCCAGTTATCACCACTCTCGCAGCCTAAGTTGCCAGCAGTACGCTTTGATGTCGGTCCCACGCACCCGTGCCTTTGCTTTTCACGTTACCTCTGCACACCAGCTCCTGCCCACCCTTACTGCTTTAATACTTCCAGATCCACAATAGAACGAGGACGAGGAAAACCTGTGATGATGGACCACGGCTCTCATGCCCAACGTGCGAGGTATCCTGGGAGGTGACCGACACGCTTCTAAGCTGACACCTCCACTCCACACCCGCGGGGCTCACCACAGCGACAATGACCGACAAGGGGTCGACCCTGGGGAGTCGGCCTCGGAGTGGACAGCGTTCACATTCCCACACCCGCCCTGGGGCCAGCCTTCCAGGACTGGTCTCTGTGAGAGCGGGCTACTACGACGAAGATATACACGGGATCGACCAGTCATTTGCCATGGTGGAAAGCACTCCCTGCTTGGAGTGCAAACCCGGCAGTAGGTACTCCTCCCAGGGCACAGTCGGTGGGCCATCCCGCCTCTCTGCTCCATTACTCGTCAAGATGGAGCTCCGTCGGCCCACCAAGCGAGCTGCGTCTGTTAGCAGCATCTGTCTAGTAGACCCGGAATGGTACCTTTTTCAGTCAGGAAAACCTGATTGTTTTTTATTGGCCTCTCCGGGCATACGGGCACGCTTACGGCCACGGTAGCAAGTTGTCATGTTCCTACTTATAGTAGCCAGCTTCCGCTCGCCCTTCAGGGGTGGGGGTTCCGCGCCGCTGGCCCTCAACGGGGTTGGGGGTGCTCCGACGGAACCCCCAAAGTGATAAGCCAAGAATACGAGATCTCTCTTCATTGTATTTGATTTAATCATTATAACGGCTATCCAATAATTTTATTTCTGTATAATAATTTATGGTTATTCACTAATCATTATTAGTCACCATAATTAATTCCACTTTAATCATCTATTTTTTCGTTATAATGAGCTACTAGGCTTCCTCATTTAAGAATTATCAATTATTAAATCATTAATTATGACTAATATTAATTAATTATTTGTTTTAAATAATTAATTATTATTATTATTATAAAATAAACAAGTCCCCCACTCAGTGAGCGTTTTCTTCCAACCGCAGAAATGTATTTTCTGATCAGGGGGAAAAAGACACTGACAGAATGAGGCTTAATTTTATTGGTAAAATAAATTCTGCAGAACATATAGATATATAAAGTAAGAATTAACAAAAGTAACAATTCCAAGTCCGAGGACTAGTATTTAACTTAAAAGGTACACCCGTAGTAAGTAAGATGAATAAGCTTAGCCTAGTGGCATGGTAAACGAATTCTGCAGAAACCTAATAGCTTAACTGGTTTCAGAATTAAGGCCGTGGGCAAATGTGTAGTAATTATATAACACTAGGATATAACAGGCAGGACACAAAGAGTAACTAACAAGTGAGAGACCACATAACACATAATGGACCTGACCAAGAGGTCGTAAAGACCTAATGAATAAGGAGAAGGGGTTCCTGACTAAAAGTAGGGCTTACTAGCACCTAGACTGGGCAAAGTATTAGCTGCGGACAGCGGGACACTTGGGGACCCGCGCTGCGCCCCCACTGCAGACCAGCGGCCGGACCCACCCTCCCCCGAAGGGCGAGTGCCAGCTGGCCGCGAGAGACACTCAAAGTGGCAGAGCAACAACGTCCCGCCTGACGTAGGATGTAAAAGCACTACTCTTCCACCTACTGACTGCCATTATTTCTGATGGGGCGAGCCCGTCCCGAGACAGCTGGGTGGCCCTGCCGATACGAAAGGAATGCGGGGCGTAGTCAGCTAGGCGTAGGCAGGCATGGAAAGCCAGGGAAAAGAGCGCCCTGTAGCAAGACTTCTCATAGGCAGAGTTACAAACACCTCCCAGTGCCCGCAGCAGGCGATACAGGAGGCTCCTCGTCACAGGGAGACGCCGCGCAGTGGCCCGTTGTGCGGAGTTACGTGCCCCTTCGAGGAGTTGAGTGACCAGGAACTGCCGTGATGGATCCCTCCAACACGGCGATGGCTGCTAGATAGGCATGCAGAGAACGGAAAGCCAAGCCGCGCGAGAGCAGAGATTGCAGGAAGTTCACCAGGGTCGAAGGTGCAGCATCAAAGGGCCATTCTCCTCGCCGCCCTGCCGAGACGTAGGCGGCGTACTCCACCCACTTAGCCCGGTAAGCACGCCTCGTCGCTGGCTGCAGGGAGTTG